ATAGCTGCAGAAAAGGCTAACATTGTTATCTTTTTACAAAAGAAACAGCTGAACATGAGAGGTTTTTGGACTAATTTTGTGTTCTCCATTCTTTAAGCACCGGTTCGAGCACCGTTTAAGCACCGGTACCGTTTCAAAAGTACCGGTTTGGCACCGGTATTGGATAAAACCTAAACGATACCCATCCCTAGTAATCACTTTATTATCATTGTCCTTTCTCTAAAATTCTCCACCTTTTGTTATTGTTGACTTTCATCTTCCCTTCATCCTCTTTTTGACAACTTTCCTTCTTCTGGTGATGCATACCTCCACGCCAACCCCCCAGCCAGCCTGATACCGCCAATTATTCCCATTTTCCTTCACCTCAGCTGCTCTCCACATTCCCATTTCTATTTCTCTGCCTCACCCATTGCACTTTCCTCCTCCTCAGTCCACTTTACCACCTCTCTCGCGTTGCCTCCCTCGTTGCCTCCCTCCTTCCCTTTCTGACGCTCCTGTTTCTCCTCGTGTCTCCTCGTGTCTCCTACTTCCCAGATCAAAGAAAGTTAAGTAGGCCAGTGGCTGTGGTGGGCGTCAAAGGGTTTAAGGTGTGTATCTGTGTGTGTGAGAGAGTATCTTTATCACCACACATTTTTAGGGAATTTATGTTGCTCATTATTAACACTGTGTGGGAGGAGGATGTGTATTTATTTTGTGTAGAGGGATGTACAGAACACGGATGCTTACACATTTCTATAAATAGACAGCTACTTTGAGATTTCCAGGATAATTACAAGGCCTTAATATTAATTTATTCGCTGGTATTTGTTCCCACTGTTATGAAAGTGAATAAGTGATCGAAAGACTAGACAACGGCTCTTTATTATTGATGAATTTCACTACAGTGCTTGGAAAATATTTTATCACCATTTAGCATTAAATTATGCACTTTGTATAAAGGCTGCTTTTAGGAGATTTCATTAAATGAGCATGGTGTCTTACAAAACAAATATAGCCTTAGGAGCAACACAAGTGAGAAAAACCCACCAAGAGTAAAAGGGCGCAATTAGGTTTAACATGAACTCTGTCATCCTGTGCTACACAGAGGAGCAGCTGCTGGTTCTTTAGTGTTTTGTTCGACGCTAAATTCACATGTAAAGTTTATCTGAAAGCATAATCTCAGGCCTCCTCAGCATACACACTGTGACGTCCTCCAGGGTGATTGAAATGAAACTCTGCTGCTAAGTTTTAACAGCCGCCTTGAGCCCCTTCAGTCACTGCAGTGGCAGACGTGTGCTTGAAATCAAGAGTTTTCTGTACAGACAGCAATCAGAGTTATGTCTCACCTGCCATCTGATTGCCTGTTGTAACTCGCTCTCTACGAGTCCTGTTCTGACCTCTTGCATTTTTGCTATTTCATCAAACTTGAGCATGAACTCCTGTTTCAAAGTGATTCACAACGAGAATCAGCTCTGGTAATGAGAGGTGGGTCTTCAGAAGTACAGACCAAATAGCAGGCGTCAGATCCTTCAGCGTCCAAGCCAGGAGCATGCTCTTTGGGTTTTCTTCGTCCTTGTTTATATTCACAGGGCTGTCCACAGTGAATCCATCCCGCAGGACAGATTTAATGTAGATCCTCTGCTGTAATGTTCTGAAGTAACTGAGGAAGGACATTTGACTGAGATGGCCAGAACTGTAGCGTGTGTCGGCACACTGAAAACAAAGGGCTTATTTTGGCCACACTAACAGTCTTCCTTAGGGACTGCAGTTTCACTTGAAAAAGAGAAACCTGGATCCTAGTACGTTTCATAATTATCTAACATTATTCTAAAATTGTGCAATCAGACTTTTACAAACATCATAGCACAGGAAGCGCTCTCCTGAAGATAACGGATACCAGCTTGAATACAGATTCAGCAAACTGAGTACCCTGGTAATGTTAGCATTCAATACTGTACATCCTAACACACCATCTGACAGGTTGGAAAATTTGATTGGGTCCTACAGGGAGTGTTCATGCAAGGTATACGATCATACTCTCAAGGTAGGGATTATTTATTCTGTCTCCATTGATGCTTATGAATCAGAGAAAACCGTAACGCCATGTGGAGTCCAGCAGGGATCAATCCTTGGTCCCCTTTTGTTTTATCTTTTAGTGATACTTTCAGGCATATATGTTAAGGCAGGTTAACACATCTATGCAGATGATACCCTGATCTATCTAGCTCTCTACTAAATGATTCCTATTGATTTATTACATTTGTCTCTTGAAAAAGTGGAGACCTACACAAATTTCCTTCTATTCGGTCTATATAGGAATCAAAAATGTGCGGTTGCATCTTTTTTTTTTTTTTCTTTCTTTTTTTTTGCTGGGTCACTGAAGACTGATGTGAAAAATCTTGGTATAATGATGGTTGACAACCTTAGTTTTGCTAACCATATTTTGCCTTTGACTACATCTAGCTAAACTGATTAACTTAAGAAGTTATCATTTCATTTTTGTTCTTGGATTTGATCGTGTAAAGCGCGTTGACTGTCATGTTTAAAAACAGGCTATATAATTTATATAAACGCCTTTCATAGCCTAACCACATGGTCTACTCGCCAGATTTGGCTCATATTACTTTAGCCTCTTCTCTAAAGAGAAAACAACTTTGGACACGCAGTGCACATCGCAGACATACAGTACAAGGGTTAGAACAAGAGAAACCTAAAACCAGCAGCCATTGTAAAAATGTTGCAGGCTGCCCAATGACGCAACCTTGAAGGGGAGATCGTCAGAAAACCACTTCAGTCACTGCTATGATAGAGGAGGGTGGAAATTTTGGAAAACTCACCATTTTCCAGGAAGTTTATCCTGATTTTATTTGATTCTGAGCTGCTGGCTTTAGTCCAAGCCTGTCCCGGCTGCTGTTTTGTCCATGCAGTGACGTCACACCAGTAGTAACCTCTGTCGGACAGCTGGACGCCTGCCAGGCGAAACCGAAACTCTGCCGCACCAGACTTGGTCAGAACCAGATTGTCTCTGAGTAAGCAGTCAAAAAAAATGTTTTATATGTCTCGATATAAAACAAGAAACTGCAGTTTGTTACTTAAATGTGTTCATGTGTACCTCCTGTTTGGGTCTGTGGCTCCTCCGTGCTGTACGACATTGTCCGGGCTGAGAGTCATGATGGTCCTCACGGTGCTGTCCAAGCTGTCCTGAGACTGGATGAGCACAGAGTACCCCGCATCACCGATGTTCTGAGTGGTGACACTGCAGCCCAATTCAAAGGTAGAGCCTCCTACCGATGCCTCACGGATGCGTTTAGCCACCACATTCACAATCGGACCTGGAGATAGAAGCGGCCGTTCAATCATTTAGTTCTAAGAAGAGCGTCATTCAAACCATCACAGACAGGGGGAAGTCCCCGACAGGGGTCAACGGGAAGTGATAAGTACTTAGACTATGAACTCATTCAAAGCAGACCCATACACACATACAGCACACTGCAATTACATCACAGCCCAATCAGCTAAATTATGGTCACCAAGTTCAACATGTAGATCTCAAATAGGGAGGAAGTGAATGTCTGTGTGCACTGTGACAGTGAAGCTGAGACAAAAGGAGGCCTGTTGTGGGATTCTTCTGTAAAGTCTATAAACGATATGGACACATTGACATTTATTCATGAAACTCAGCAGTGAAGCTACTGTGGCAGCCTGGCAGTGCATGAGTAGTTTTCTGAATCACGAATCTGAGTTAATGGTTTGGATTTTCTGTATTTCTTCCAAAAATACCTCATTAAGTACCTCACTGACCGGGCACATTTGTGCACGCACACAGGCAGGTATACAGTTAATTTCGCCAAAACACTGATACAAAGCTCAGTTTTTTTATCTGCATGTGACACAGAATCACATCCACAGAAGTGGACGAGAAAAGAAACTCGTTTCTGCTACTTTCATATTTTTTGGTGAGTCACACCGAATTAAAAGGTAATTTGTTGTAATAATTTTGAGGCTGGTAAGCCTCGACTATAACGGTTTATGATTCTTTTGACTTGCCTCAGGAAGAAAGGCAGGTATATATACTTGGTTGACTGAAGTTAAGTTTGTAATAGATGCTGCACAGCAATTTCTCCACATTCTTTTAATTAAAAAATAATATTAGCCCTATTAACCAGCAGATAAAAGCTAGAAAGAATAAAGATCTACATGCTTTTTATGATTACTACTGCCAGTGAATCAAGAATCGAAGTCATAATAAAAGCTTTCTTACGCTTGGCGTCCCATCGAACAGTCAGCGGCGAGCTTCTGTTCTCAGAGGTCTTCACCATGTCTCCCTGGCTGTTGACGCTCCAAGCAGACACACTGCAAACATACTGGCCCATGTCGATCTCCTGCAGAGTGAAAATGAATGCCCATTAATGCCTCCAAGTTCCTTTATCGACACCTGACTGCCATTTACTCTTTCCCTCACTTTATACTCATTTAACCACAATTTAGCCTCACAGCACTTCGTCGTTTTCAGGATTCCAATAAGACTTTAAAATTATTGCAGGGCGACGTTTAGCTGCACAGCATGAAAAACTGTACCTGTGTGCGGAGGATTCGCAGCTTGAACGTGTTGGGCTGGACTCTGCTCAGCGTTAACGCACCGCTCTTCATCCTTTCCATATAAATCGACCCCGGCAGCAGGTTGCCATTAGCATCCAAGGAACCAATGGGATGTGAGGTCTGAGGGTCGTCCCCTAACCCTGCCGGTATCAGAACAATTTAAAAATTGAGTGATTCTGTGGAAAAACGTCTCTAAAGTAAATCTGAATTAAACATACCAGGAAGCGATGTGTGCTCCCAGCTGACGCCCAGTCGGCCTCCAAGAGGTAAGTTGGCAATGTTGGTGACGCGACAGGCGAGTTCTGTTGGCTCAGCTGTCGTCTGGGGGTTGACGTCAGCCACGAGGGTCAGCGTGAAGTTCGGCTCTGTGGTGAAAAAGCGAGGCAGCAGAAAATTAAACTGGGTGTCAGTACGGAATAGAAAACTTTAAATGAGGTTGGGTGGTCTGATAACTCTGGTCCTTTTGGGTTTTAAACTCATTTGCAGTACTTTTTACCCAATTAATTTTTATCAGTTTGAACTGCCACGCTTTCAATTTAACCTCAGGAAAGGCACGAGGAAAGAGCCACAGCTTTATGGCAGCAGACTATAAGAAATAACCAACTGCAAATGTGAAGTTCCATCCAAGCATCATTCAGCCTGAACAAAAGCCTAGCCCATAAAGAAACAGATAAACCCGACTGGCCTGCACAGAGCTCTTGGTTTCAACAGCATGCAGAATTTTTCAGATTGCTTGGAGCGTCTGGCAGGCCTTGTTGTCCAATATCGCTGCCTGAGTCGCGTTGGAAAGCCGTGGCTATTTGCACAAAATCACCTCTACCAAATCTGATGGCAACTACTAAGTGGGCTTTAACAGGAACTTTATATTGGTCGGATAAACCAAATCTAAGCCAAGCCTCATTGGCAAGTGTGGCTAGCAATAAAAAGACAAAAATAAAGAATATAGCCGTAAAGTCAACATAGGGACACACTGAATGTCAAGCTCCAAACTTGACAACAATCAAAAAGAAGCTGCCTACTAAGACATAGATAACTTCTCTTAATCCCGCATGTAAGCAAGAAGTGAAAAACCTCCCAAGGAGGTCAAAGACAGGCACGTAACACTTTGAAATCAAGGGTGTATCGAAAAGAATCAAAGTGCTTTAATTTCACAGCCATTCATTCAGGTAATGATGGAAACACACAACAGTATGGCGTTAAACACCCTAAAACTGTAGATGTGCATTTTAAAATATACGCAAGCTTCTATGTCCATTACTTTAAAAAATACAGCTTCTTGAAATTGGATGATTCTTTCTGATACACCCTGGTGAGATTATGTTTTTAGTAGCATTTGCATGTTTATCATTCTGTCTGTAAACGGGGTAGCTCGAGAAGGTTTTACTGAATTCTGATAAAACTTGGTGTAAAATGGGACCACGTTAATAATCCATTAAAATTTGGCATCCATCCACCAAGGTCTTAAAGGTCAACTTCATGATTTATTACCTGAAACTGACAAAAAAAGCCTCAAAACTTAGAGACGTGATGTGGTAATAATAATAATAATGGATTGGATTTATAAAGCGCTTTTCAAGACACCCAAAGCGCTTTACAATGCCACTATTCATTCACTCTCGCATTCACACACTGGTGGAGGCAAACTACGGTTGTAGCCACAGCTGCCCTGGGACAGACTGACAGAAGCGAGGCTGCCATATCGCGCCATCGGCCCCTCTGGCCAACACCAGTAGGCGGTAGGTATGTGTCTTGCCCAAGGACAAAACGACCAGGACAGAGATCGGGGATCGAACCGGTGACCTTCCTGTTACAGATACGCTTCCCAACCCCCTGAGCCACAGTCGCCCCTAATGGTATACATCGTCAAAGTGATAACAGAGCTATTTAAAACTGAAAACACAATACTTTAAAGCAGCGGTCCCCAACCCCCGGGCCTCGGTCCGGTACCGGTCCGTGAGTCGTTTGGTGCCGGGCCGCGACAGTTGAGGCTCAGGTGTGAAATGTATAGTTTTCAGGGTTTTTATCGGTTTTCAGAGTTATTTTGTTATCGTTTTTGTCGTTAACTCGGTTTTTCTGGGTCTTTTCACGTGTGTTAGGCCGGTCCGTGAGAATATTGTCGGGCACAAACCGGTCCGTGGCGCAAAAAAGGTTGGAGACCGCTGCTTTAAAGTAAAAGCTGTCCGGACAGTGAGCTGACTTGGCAGAGGTTTGTGCTTCTTGTTATATAAAATATATCCTGTCCTTGTTTTAAACTCGATACATAAAGTATGGTCGACTGAAAAGAAGCCTCAAGTCCAGATGGTGCAACTGGCATAATTAAGTGGTCAGACTTAGAATGGCAATTAAGTTTACCGGCAAACGGCCTAGAAGGCGGCGGATTAATGGCCATGACCACATAACATACATCTAAGTATACACATACAAAATCTACAGCAGGACACTGGCTACGTGGAGTTTTTAATTATCCTCGTTGTCAGCGGGATTGAAATGAGCGCTTCTTTTAAGAAGAGAATCAGAACCCTGACGGCTGAACAGCTCCTCGATGATAATGCCAGAAATTGAGTTACAGTGCTGCCTCGAGAGACATTATTGCCAACCCAGCCGGGTATTGCTTTCATCAGTCAATCCTAGGTCACATTAACAGTCTGACATCACCAGACACATGCAAAGTGAATCCTCCTTTTTTTCTCCTGTAGGTGATTTCTTCCTTAAATAGAGTTAGGTGACTGAGCCAGATGACAGAAATAGAGCAGAAATAACACCGTTAACTGTGTGAGATGAGGTGGGTATCAAAGCATTAATAGTGTGTGTGTAGGTGGGGAGGCAGGTCCTCTCAGTCAGGCATCCAGATTGCACCTTTACGCGTCAGTGAACAGGAAACACACAACAAGATTTCCACCTGCTTAACCGTGAGAAATCACACACACACACACACACACAGTATATAAAAGTAGTTCCTGATAGTGTGCCAGCATACCAAGAGATGCCACTATACCACACACACACACACAGACACACACAGACACACAAACACGCAGCCAAAAACGTTAGAAATCAAGTGCATGGGCTTGGGTGTGTTTGGCAAAGGAGTCGGTTTGCATGATGTCAGCTGGACGTCATACGCACACACACACTGACTCATGCACTGTCACCATCTGGTGTGAAACACACACACACACTTTGATCAATGAGAACGTGTGAAGCTCCTCTGCCAATTAGCCACGCTCCACGCTCTCTCCCTCACCGAAATGCTGCCTTATTTAGTCGAGTAACATGACCACTCGCCGCCAGTTCAGGGGCTCTGCTACTGTACAGCAGCTTGTGACACAAGGCTTGAAACGCAGTAGGTATACACCGAGCAGCCACAACATTAACACCACTGACAGATATAGTGGATGGCATTGATCCACAGTGAAATGTTTGCTTGTGGCATTTCACCGGCCAGTACTCTGACAAAGCACCCCATCATGTGCCAAACACCTAAAAATAACAGCACACCTAGAACAATCACTCATGCCAATGGCACGGATACCAAGGAGAAAGCATGCCGCCACACTGCAAAGATGGCTCAGGACCACGACGGCAAGTTAGAAACCCGACCTCCAAACTTCAAACTCTTCAGTTTTTATTATCTAATGGAGGCGCCTCAATACACCCAAACCGTAAAGCGGGAATATCGAACTTAAGGCCCAGGAGTCACAATCGGACTACAAAAGACACCAATGAACGCCTTTGGAAAATATGACGGACATATTTTGGACTTGTAGCCTTATTTTCATTAGTTTTACAGCTTTTTCTGTTTAAGCCCACAGAGCCACGCTGACAGACTTCTTTCATTTACTGCAACAATTAAGATTTCCTCAGACTTCTAAAACCTGGCTGAAACTCGTGCTTCAGCTAAGGAAACATCCAGCCATCCATCTATTTTCTTACCCACTATTCAAACTTAGTTTCCCCTTGGAGGTACTGAAGCCTATCCAAGCTGGCAGAGAGCTAAAGGCGGGGTTCACAAGTCCATCACAGGGCTGAGGGGATATCAGTTTCCTACTCCCCTGACGATATAAGTAATGCAAACTAATTTAATCAATAGTCTTAAAACATCCATCCATCTTCATCCGCTTTATCCGAGGCCGGGTCGCGGGGGCAGCAGCCTAAGCAAAGAGGCCCAGACCTCCCTCTCCCCAGCCACCTCCTCCAGCTTATCCGGGGGAACACCAAGGCGTTCCCAGGCCAGCCGAGAGATATAATCTCTCCAGCGTGTCCTGGGTCTGTCCCGGGGCCTCCTCCCGGTGGGACATGCCCGGAACACCTCGCCCAGGAGGCGCCCATGCCCGAACCACCTCAGCTGGCTCCTTTCGATGTGGAGCAGCAGCGGCTCTACTCTGAGCCCCTCCCGGATGGCCGAACTTCTCACCCTATCTCTAAGGGAGAGGCCAGCCACCCTTCGGAGGAAGCTCATTTCCGCCGCTTGTAGCCGCGATCTTGTTCTTTCGGTCACTACCCACAGCTCGTGGCCATAGGTGAGGGTAGGGACGTAGATCGACCGGTAAATTGAGAGCTTCGCTTTTACACTCAGCTCCCTCTTCATCACGACGGACCGGTGCAGCGTCCACATTACTGCAGCTGCAGCCCCAATCCGTCTGTCGATCTCCGGCTTCCGGCTCCCATCACTCGCGAACAAGACCCCGAGATACTTGAACTCCTCCACTTGGGGCAGGAACTCATCCCCGACCCGGAGTGGGCACTCCACCCTTTTCCGTCTGAGTCTTAAAACACTCTGGTTAAACCACTAACTCTCCGTGTCGTCTCACCCACATGACAAAAATTGCCCAACAACAGTTTTCCAACTATGAAAAAGCTCTAAATATGGAAAACAGATGCAGTGTGCATGAAACTGAGCATCAATTCACAGTCATCCTGCAGTTTGTTTCAATGCAGGAAGAGCAAAGAGAAAATAGATTTCATGTTAAAGAGGCTTTTTACGCTTCTGACCTGAAGTCATGTCCTCAAAGCTGAGTCTGACTGGCAGCCTAAATTGCTCCTTTCTGTTATCCTGCGTTCTGCAGAGTTAAGCAGGGAGGAAAATTGTGTAAAACAAGCTTTAAGAAGAAGAAAATGGCTCCATTAGTGTGTGGATCTGGGAGGCAGAGCGAGGAAAAATAGGTCATTGTCAATAACACAACAAACTGCTTTCATCACACAGCATGTGTTCACATCGAGAAGTTACTCTTTGGATTTCAGTGAGAGCAACGGTGACAGATTCACTAACCACTAAGTGCTGGTTTTTTAATTTTACACATCAATTGTTATTTTTCAGCTCACATGAAACTAACAACTGATTTTAATATGAATAAATAGATTCATT